TTCGAACAAAAACTACAACTCCCATGATTCCGTTGGCGCGCATGCGCAGTCGGTCTGGGCCATTATTTTGTCCTGAAGCGTAAAATGAACAACAGGCTAAGCGTTCCTTGAAATGAATTAAATATTAATTCACGGAAATATTTTTTTTCCTCCGTCTTTCCTCCAGAGACCCTCTGATGGAGCGGGTCGCTCAGTAGCGGGCCAGCTCGGTCCTCCGTTGGACTCGAAGGCCGAAAACGCTGCGCGGGGTGACAGCCCCGTTACAGGCAGGCAGGCGGGCGGGCAGGCGGGCAGCGGTTAGGGTGTTTGTCGGCTCGGCTAGCCGCTCTGCTAGCTTCCTACACAGCGGGAAGGGGAGAGGAGGGCAGCTAAGTCTGGAGAGACGGAGCGGAGACTGGCTCTGTCCAACCGGCAGAAGCGATGGCTCACCTTGGAGACCTGCAGAACCAGGTACCGAACCCCTGACAGTCACTTAGCCCGGGTTAATGCCTGGCTGCTGGGGGTGGGGGGGCTTTAAACTAATGTTTATTACATTCATCTTTTACTTTTATAGATTTAGCTAAAAACATTACAATATAGATTTATTAATGTGCTGTTTTATATTTAATAGTCCTCTTTGTTATTAAAAATACATCACATGGACTATAATAATATAATAATAACTAATATTAGGGTTGAAACAATCAGATTAATTGATTAGTGAAATAATCAACTAGTTTAGTAATAAGTTAATCGTTTACTGAAGTATAGAGACTGTAAAACCTGCTTTTAGCTGACAGAGCAAACCACTTAGAGCAGGATTTATACCAAGATTGTGAAAAAGAAATAAATATTTAAGCATTTAAGATGAAAATGATCTTTTTCATCTGTCAATCTGCTCTATCTAGAACTCCTGAAGTTGAAAAGTTTTAGTTTTTCACCTGGTTTAATTTGGGAAAAAGTCTTCTTTCAGGAACCTTTGGCTATGTGATTATTAATCGATTCATCAAAAAATAACCAACAAATCAATTTGCAGACTAATTTTTAGTTACAGCTGTAACTAATACTGTTATATATTTAAATAGATGCATATAAAACAGGAAATTAGAAAACCCTTTCATTATCTGTAGAACAACATAGTAATATCTGGAGTTTAATGTGATGGTAATAGTTTTTTTGCTCTTTGTTAATCGGAGAACAAACTCAAACGCACATATAGATTAAAACATGAGCAGTTTTCTAATGATGGAGGAGATTCTCAGACCTGACTGTCTCAAGCAGAACACCAAACTGGACCCTGAGGAGTACTTCACCAAGCAGGAGCGAATAGGAAAGGGTTCTTTTGGAGAGGTTTACAAGGGCATCAACAACCGCACCAAGGAGGTGGTGGCCATTAAAATCATCGACCTGGAGGAAGCTGAGGATGAGATCGAAGACATTCAGCAGGAGATCACAGTCCTGAGCCAATGTGACAGTCCGTTTGTTACCAAGTATTATGGATCATACCTGAAGGTGAGAAAGTTCAAAAGAAAACAACAATGATGGGAGATCTACATAAAAGTACGACAGAGTATTAGGGCATGGTATTTTTTTTAATTTTGAGAATAAAGTCGTAAAATCACGAGAATAAAGTCAACATACAACCCGTTTGAGAAAGAAAGCTTGGAGCTCCGCCCAGCAGATGATGGTCGACCGGCTCCACCAATCAGCAACCAGAGTCCACTTTGACATCCTGCCCAGTTTGATGCTGCTGCTAAAAGATTTCCTGATTGGTCAAACCGATGCTAAAGTAGAACTTCCCATGATGCTCCACATTCCTCATTTTAGGGAAGAAACGGCTTCTTGGAAGAGTTGCCATAAAATGCGACTTTATTCTCATAATTTTAGGACTTTATTTTCTTAATATTACAACTTTATTCACGTAATTTTATGACTATTCTTGTTGTGACTTTTTTATCTTAATATTACGACAATTGTTGCAATTTTACGACTTTATTCTCATAATTTTACGACTTTATTCTAGTCATTTTATGACTTTATTCTCGTAATTTTGACTATTGTCATTGCAACTTTATTCTCGTAATATTACGATTTTATTCTTGTAGTTTTACGACTTTATTCTTGTAGTTTTACAACCTTATTCTTGTAATGTTACGACTTTATTCTCGTAATTTTACGACTTTATTCTTGTAGTTTTACAACCTTATTCTAGTAATGTTACGACTTTATTCTCGTAATTTNTATTCTAGTAATGTTACGACTTTATTCTCGTAATTTTACGACTTTATTCTTGTAGTTTTACAACCTTATTCTAGTAATGTTACGACTTTATTCTCATAATTTTGAGTTCATTCCGTAATATTATGACTTTATTCTCGTAATTTTACGACTTTATGCTGTAGTTTTACGACCTTGTTCTCGTCATTTTATTACTTTATTTTCGTAATTTTGACTATTGTCGTTGCAACTTTATTCCTGTAATTTTATGACTATTCTCCTTGCGACGTTATTCTCGTAATGTTACAACTTTATTCTTGTAATTTTACGACCTCATTCCGTAATGTTACGACTTAATTCTCTAGTCCAGCAGAAATACTTCCCATAATCAGGACTGAAGTATTGCTGGAACAAAGACAGAAAGTTAGATGCATTCCACCTCAAAATAGAGGACATAGAGAAAATTCTGCCATTGTGCGGCGCCCGGGGAGCATGGTGGGGTTAAGAGTATTTGCTCAGAGTGGCAGTCTGTGGGAGTCGAACTCAGAACCTCAGGATTCCAGCTCTATGTAGGCCGCCGCTCCCTAAAGCAGGCGTTAGCGTGAAGCGTCTCTCCTAAGGACCCACACTGGCAGCTCGTTCACTGCCTGCTGGGATACGGTTGTCTTACCTCTGGAGCCACTATCTACATCACCATAAATCATCACTATATAAATATTTATAATAGACAGTGGTGCGTTTGGTTGTTGGTGAAAGTGACCCTCCAGTTCACCGTTTGTCTCCCCAGGGGACCAAGCTGTGGATCATCATGGAGTATTTAGGTGGAGGATCTGCTCTGGATCTGGTAACCAGCTCTCTACCGTTTATGTTGCGCTGCAGACACACCAAAAAAAAACAAAAAACAATGAATCCAAACCTTTTTTGTCTTTGCCGCTTCAGCTCCGCCCAGGACCTCTGGAAGAAACCTACATCGCCACCATACTGCGGGAAATTCTGAAAGGCCTGGAGTATCTGCACTCTGAGAGGAAGATCCACAGAGACATTAAAGGTAAACGCCGCTTTCAGGCGGTGATGTGTGACGACAGCGTGGCGCCCGCTGAGCCTCAGCTACATGCTAGCCTCACACCCAGACATGCAGTCACGCTGCTCTGGGTTTTTTTTTTGTTTTTCTCGCGGTGTGGAGCTGTGAGGTCACAGGATTCTGCAGCTGCTAAACAAATCCTCATCTTTAATATTTATTTCCTGCTTTTTGTTTGAGTATTTCTGTCTATAATTTTTTTTTGTAAATCGGTTTCTTTTCTTTCTCATGGTGGTAAAAATCCCTCAGAAAGAAAAACTAAAGATTTTATTACATTTTTATATTTATTTTGTATTTTGAGGAGAAAAAAGATTGAGCTTTATTTAAAAGTTGAGACTAGATTAGTAGATTAGTCCTGCAGCTTTTCTCTGTAGCAAAAGAGAAAGAATTGGATTATTTTTGTTCATCTAAACCTCGTTAGTGGATTATGAAACGAGATCTGAGCGCTGGTGACGATTCTCAGTCATCCAG